CAATGTTCCCTCTGAGCTGTGGAGTCTTGTGAGCAAAAATTCTACTTTGTGAGCTGCCGGCATTAAAGTTGTGAGCGAGCGATTTGGCTGCTGCAGTAATTAGTGTGCTCTGGAGCCATCCTTCCTGAGCGAAGGCAAAAATGTGTGAGCCGGAGGCTAAAAAACTGTGAGCTAGCTCACACTGTCTCAGCTTAGAGGGAACACGGAACACACAAGCATGGTGCAGTTAGAGGCTTCGCTCACCTCTTCTCTATCGACAGGTAGACAGAGCAGGGTTTTTTCAAGTTGTGGGTGATCCGGTACAGCGTTCTGAAGAAAGCGTCTGTTAGATCGTCGTCATAAAATACTGCGAGAGAGAAGAGAAACGAGCAGGTCAGGAGGAAACGAGGGAGGATCAACTACGCGCATGTGAACTTTGAATTCTGCTCCAAAGCTGATTTTTAGCCACGTTTTGAAGCTGTTATCCATTTCAGGACCTGATCATGCGATGCTGCTGTATATGGAATCACACCATCGGTCCATTTGCCCAGTAAAACGTCTTCTAACTGGTTCTCTGGAGTCTCAGGCAGGGAAAGGCCTCTTTCGGCATCAGCTGCTAGAGATCTTTTATATGCGAGAGGCCAAGGAAGAGGCAGGCTGAACAACAGGAAGTGTAGTGTTAGAGTTCGGATGTCTTTTCAGGGCTGGGGAGACCAGGATACAAGGGGAGTGTCCTAAGGCCAGTCCCAATCCCTCAGCCCAACCCACCACAAAGATGTCCTGACCTAGATAGCCCAGGTTAGCCAGATCTCGGAAGCTAAGCAGGGTCGGCCTTGGCTAGGATTTGGAAGGGCGACCTCCAAGGAATACCAGGGCCGTGACGCAGAGGCAGACCGTGGCAAACCACCTCTGAAATGTCTCTTGCCTTAAAAAAACAAGTCTAGCTCGCCACCTAGTCGTGCATAATTCTAAACAGCTGGAACTTCTGGCTGCCAAACAATCTTAGGATCTCCTGGCTATTCTACACACAACGCCATACGATAGTAATAATAATTATTAATTATCTCACAGGATCATTTTGAGATTAAGAGCCAGTTTGGTGTTGTGGTTAATTGCGCGGACTCTAATCTGGGAGAACCAGGTTGGATGCCCCACTCCTCTACGTGCAGCTGCTGGATGACCTTGGGCAAGCCACAGTTCTGTCAGAGCTGTCCTTGAAAGAGCAGTTTCTGTCAGAGCTCTCTCAGCCCCGCCTACCTCACAGGCTGTCTGTTGTGGGGAGGGGAAGGGGAAGGAGTTTGTAAGCCGCTCTGAGACTCCGAGTGAAGGGCGGGGTACAAATCCAATCTCTTCTTCTTCTTCTAAATGGGGGGGCGGGCTATTGTGTGTATGGGCCACCTTGAACTCCTTGGAGTAGGAAAGGTGAGATAAAAGGTGTTTTTCCCCCCCTCACCATCAAATCACGGCTGACTGATGGCGACCCTGTCAGATTTTCAAGGCAAGAGACGTTTAGGGGTGGTTTGCCACTGCCTGCCTCTGTGTTGTGACCCTGGCGTTCCTTGGAGGTCTCCCATCCAAATACTAGCCAGGGCCGACCCTGCTGAGCTTCTGAGACCTGACGAGATTGGGCTAGACTGGGCCACCCAGGCCACGGTAGGATGAAAGCAGATAGATATAATTTGGAGAAACTGTCTCCTTTCTTCTCGCAATTGCTACAAGTGGCAACTAGATGGAACTCGCATAAACCTCTGGCATAAAAAAACTATGGAGTACCTACATAACATGAAGGGGGGGGGAAGGAAACTCAACCCAAAATCAGCTGCGAACAAAGAAGGTCAAGCTAACAACTATATTATATAAAAAATACAAACGTTTATTAGGGTGTACAGATAGCTAAAATATACTGCGGTTAAAAGAAATAGTCTAAGTCTCAGACTTAAAGGCTTATACAACCAAGTTAGTTATTACAAGGGGCGGGACCCGCGATACTCGTGGGGGGGGGACCTCCACACTTATGAGGCAGAAGCAGGAGGAGGAGGTAAGTTCCCCCCCATCCCGCCGGTTCCCCCCGTCTCCTCCACTTTGGGGGGATTTAAGTATCCCTCCGATATTTTTTCTGGGTTTTTAGATTTTTGTGCACACCTGGGGACTGCCCCAAGTGTGCACAAAAATCACCCTCCCCCCCAGGTGCCCCCGATGTGCGGAAATAAGTATCCGCACGCAGGGGGTGCCTTTCGCTATTAGATATATAGATACAAATACAATTGATGGGTAAAACGTTTTGACCTAAGGACCATACGTGTTTCGGCCTCTTCGGGCCTTCCCCAGTAGTCAGTATTCTTTATATTGCAATGACACACATCCGGAAATACACGCATAACATTTTTATATATACACACGACGAGATGTTGTTTTCTTATATGCTTTTGCAATTGCTACAAGTTTGTATAGTAGGCCATAGATAGTAGCCGTACCTATTCTTCTAATTATGCTGGTGTCAAGGATTCCATTTGTCAGGATGTGTGCCACTTCCATCAAGGTAGTGGTCATAACGGCCAAGCTCCCTGACACTATTAACCAACTAGGATGCCCTCTCTCCTCATCTACTTTCTTGGCTGTCTGGTTTCCTATTCTAGAATACCTCGTTTCAAAAGAAACCATCCCTAATTCAATTAATGACCTTTCCTTATGTTAAAGGGTTTTTTTTAACTGCTACTTATGTTGTTTAATGGCATGGAATATCTTGGTTAATCACTATTAGAAGAAGAAGAGATGGGATTTATACCCCGCTCTCCACTCGAAGTCTCAGAGCGGCTTACAAACTCCTTTCCCTTAACCTCCCCACAACAGACACCCTGTGAGGTAGGCGGGGCTGAGAGAGCTCTTTTGAGGACTGCTCTTGAGTCAACAGCTCTGACGGAACTATGGCTTGCCCAAGGTCATCCAGCAGCTGCAAGTGGAGGAGTGGGGAATCAAACCCGGTTCTCCCAAATTAGACTCTCTATATAAGCTATAGGTAAATTTCCTTATGGTGTTTTCAACTTTACAATAATTTAGACCAGCTAGTATCTGAATTTTATTGTGCTTTATATTTGAGTTATGATCGTATTGAACAGTATATATGTACTCTGTATACGATGGTGAAACTGCAATAAAACATATCTTTTTTTTTTTTGGGTAAATATATTTATTGAGTTTTTACCATCAATAAAACATATCTTGAAAGAAATATATAAGTTGGAGGCTCATGAGCACATGAAACTGCCTTATACTGAATTCAGACCCTTGGTCCATGCAGGTCAGTGTTGTCTACTCAGACTGGCAGCAGCTCAGAACAGGTTCTCAGGCAGAGGTCTTTCCCATCACCTCCTGCCTGGTCCTTTTCACTGGAGATGCCAGGGATTGAACCTGGGACCTTCTGCCTGCCCAGCAGAGGCTCTGCCACTGAGCCACAGACCCTCCTAAGGATTGTTGGGAGGGGGCAATATGGAAACCCCACTCTACCCCCCTGCCCAGCCAAACTGCTCAAGTGGGCCATTTCTCCTTGTTTGAGACCAACAAGCCCCAAAGACTGTGGGCTTCAAGCACCTCCTCGGAAGCCTCGGTTCTTCCGTGAGACGTCTGTGGACCCACCCCCTTACCGTCAGCGGCCAGGATCACAGTGGTGAGGTCATGCAGCTCCGCGATCTCTTGATCGGACCAGCTGTAGCGAATATCAGGATCTGAGCAAATTTTTTAAAAAGAAGCAGGAAGAACTTAAGCCGTTTCATTGAGGCAGATAATGCTGACCCACCACAAATCTGGGTCTGGTGGTCCTTCTCTCCTGCTTGCCCACTGCCCCTTGGTAGCCCACGGGTAACAGCTCTAATTATGTTCATGGACAGAAACCATCCAAGTCCCAGTTTTTAAGGAATTTAAGCAGTTACCTACCAGTGCAGAACTCATCACGCAGCCAGTCCAACATCCTGACCTTAACTTTACTTCCTGTAAATCAGTTAGAGAGGACGTGTTGAGAAATAATAATAATAATAATAATAATAATAATAATAATAATAATAATAATAATGAGGAAGAGGAGGAGGAGAAGAATTGGATTTACGCCCTGCCCTTCACTCACAGAGCGGCTTACAGTCTCCTTCCCTTCGTCTCCCCACAACAGACTCCCTGTGAGGTAGGCGGGGCTGAGAGAGCTCTAAGAGAACTGCTCTTGAGAGAACAGCTCTGAGAGGACTGTGACTGGCCCAAGGTCACCCAGCTGGCTGCATGTGGAGGGGTGGGGAATCAAACCCGGTTCTCCCAGATTAGAGTCCGCCACTCTTAACCACTACACCAAACTGGCTCTCGATTAGGAAGTGCAGGAAAAAAATCCTATATTAAGAGAATTTAAAAATGCAGAAGACAGGAGGGAATTCTAATCTGAAAACCAGGAGGAACAATAAGTGAAGGGCGAGTTAGTTAACCTTCCAACCCCTCCAGCGCCCTGGGAACTGGAGTTTTGGGAAGGAAGACACCAATCCCCCCCCCCCCCCCCATTTATTTAATATAGGCCTACTTTTTCTCCCAAGCAACTGGCACCCAAGATAGGGAACAGATTCAACACCGTATAAACCACAGGGAGTTTTAAACATCAAACTGTTCAAACCGCCAGCAGTTAACGAGTCCTTGCTCGTTCATGGAGTCTTTCGCATTTATGCCCATTCCAAAGGAAACAAAAGAAAAAGATTGAAATACAAAGAAGATGACCAAGATCCAAAGAGATGCCAGGGCTCACGTATACCCAGGGGGGAACTTTTGTTTGAGCAAAAGATGCGCTGCCTCTTTCGGAAATCCCCTCTGCTCCAGAAGAGCTTGGCCTCCTGGCAATTGTCTCTGCAGTTTTGAGACTGTGAGCCCGATGTCTTGGTGCCCTGGTAGAATTAGAGCCCTTATCTTCTATGAAATGCTGCCAACCAGATACAATTCTACTCTCTCCGATTCTGACAGTCCTTCAGTGGTCAGCTGTGTCATGATCTGTGTAGGACTGGGAGACAAGACCTAGTGAGGCCTAGGCCCAAGAGACCTGTGTGGGAGTGGAAAGCAGACTACTGCCTACAATCGCCACAATGCTTGGCACCGTTTGTAACCAATCGGTGTCCAGGGATTGTATGAGGAGACTGTTACTAAAAACTCTGTGGGATGTGGAACTGTGTCCTTTTCTCTCACAGAGCTAAGCTGAGAGGACAGTCTGGTTTGAGAGAAAGATCCCTCACTTGGGACAGAGTGAGTATAGGCACAGGCCTGGTATAAAAGGCTGTGGGCCTTGAATAATAACCAGTTTAAAGAAATAGGTAGCCGCGTTAGATTTGTTTTATTTACCTTTAGACACTGTTTTATATATATTCTAAGCACCTTGTCTTGCTTCCTTGCCCATTACTGTATTAATAAACCACTTTTATGTTCTCTGCCTGGTCATCATACCTATATTTTCTCGGCTGAACAGGGACATTTTTGGTTGGGCTTGGGAGGGTACTCTGAGCCTTCCCAAGGGACCCTAAATCCAGAGTGGTGGCAGAGGAAGGTGGCAACACATGGGGTAGCATGACAAGCCGTACCACTTCAAGGTGGTTCACAAATTTGTTAACGCTTGTACGACAGTTCCCAAGAGAACCTCCCGGTCAATATTCTCAGTTCAAAAAGAGACCTTACCAGCGGGCTCGGAGAGGTGTTTGTTTAAGGCAACGTTGCGTTTGCACGTGTCCAGCAGGTCTTCGCCAATATCTGGGGAAACATTTGGAGAAGGAAGTGTCACGCTTCCTTGAGACGAGGTGATGGGAGGCCGTGAAAAATGCAAAGGAGGACGCGAGCGGAGCAAGACCAAAGAGAGGAGCTGGATTCGAGTCCGGCAGCACCACAGAGACCTGTCTGATGAAGGGAGCTGTGACTCTTGAAAGCTCAAACCCCGAAAATCTTGTTGAGCTCTAAGGTGCTCCTGGATTCGAATCCAGCTCTTGTACGGCAGACTAACACAGCAAGTTTCTCCTCCCGCCTTTAAGTGTTTCAACTTGACAGACTGCTCTTCAGGCTCTTTTTTAAAAAAAAAACAAACAAGCAAACTAAGAACAACCTGAAAAATCAGCAGCAGCTGAACATGGCCTAACTCAAACAGGACACAGTATTTTGTTCCAAGACACTGAAAGGCTGGACAACACTTCCAATTGCCATGTCAGATTATACACGGAAGCCACTGAAATTCATAAAACATAAACACAATTTCAACAGGAAAGAAGAGAGTTTTAAACAAATAGGGCATGGTTTCCTGTCCTGAAAAACACAAAAGGCTCTACTTCATCTGACAATAGCACTACAGATAAGATTAGAATCCATATGCAAAAGAACCTCCTCAGGAAACCTCCTCAGAAAACAATCCCTATGCAAAAGAACCTCCTCAGGAAAGCTCCTCCATTAGCATGTTCACAGCCTGGGGGACTCCTACAAGATAACGACTCAGCCCTACCCCACCTTCCTGAGTAGATATAAATTACCTGCCTACCATTTTTCTTCTCACCTTAACGCAGAGAGTACTCCATCTTTCTGTGTTATACCTCTGAGGATGCCAGTCACAGCTGCTGGCGAAACGTCAGGTCCTACAATGCCAAGACCATGGCCACACAACCCAGAAAATCTACAACAGCTAAGAACAACTGTTCTATTTATTTAATTCATTTGTGCCCCAACTTTCTCCCCAGTGGAAACCTAAAACAGCTTACATTGTTCTCTCTTCCAGTTTATCCTTGCAACAACCCTGAAAGACGGGTTTGGTCGAGAGAGTGTGACTGGACCAAAGCCGTCCAGCGAGCTTCTGTGGCGCACGTGGGGGATTCGAACCCGGGTCCTCCCAGACAACAGCCCGACACTCTTCAGTACTATAACGCACGAAGACGATACCTGTGCAGTAAACAGTCTTGGCGGCCGTCGCCATGGCGATACTGACAATCCCAGTGCCTCCCCCGAGTTCGAGCACTGTGCAGTCTTTGAACAGGTCTCGCTCGGAGAGGATGTAGTCGACGAGCAGGAACGCCCCTCTCCAGACCTTTAAAACAGGAGGCCAGCGTTAGAAGAAGAGTTGGGTTTTATACCCTCTTTTCTCTACCTGAAGGAGTCCCAGAGAGGCTCACAATCTCCTTCCCTTCCTCTTGACACAAGTGGCACTTTGTGAGGTAGGTGGGGGCTGAGAGAGTTCTGAGAGAACTTGTAACTGACCCAAGCTCACCCAGCAGGCTTCGAGTGGAGGAGTGCAGAATCAAACCTGGTTCTCCAGATTAGAGTTGGGCGCTCTTAACCACTACGGGATGGCATGGACAAAGGATAAATGGGTGGGGGCGGCAAAAAGCTACCCACCTGCTTGCCAACATCTTCTAAAGGGGTTGCCATAGTGTGCTCTGGGGGGAAAAAATGCAAAACAAGTAATGGGAAAAGCGCTCAATTCATAAGTTTTATTTCATTTAGTCCCTCGCCCTAGGCATGTCCAACTTGCCTTGACTAAGGCCAGGGCCTTCTCAGCCCTGGCCCCTGCCTGGTGGAATGAGCTACCTTATGAGATATACAGCAGGGCCTGCAAGACGGGCCTGCAAGACCGAGTTCTTCTCCCAGGCCTTTAGTTGAGGCTGCGGGCATCCACTTTGATTTGGCCTCCCCTCCGATGACCGCAGATCCTAGAAGCCGATTGGGACCACAGTATTATCTGTCGAGGGCGCGTCGTTGCTTTAGTGTGTTGGGATTTTTACTGATTTTAACGGATTGTTGTAATATGTTTTTCATTGTGAATCTGCAGTCACTGCAGGCTTATATGTTGGTACACCCGTCCTGAGCCTACAACGTGGGGAGGGCGGGATAGAAGTCCAGTAAAATAGATAAATAAATCTCTGTGAAACGCCTTAAAGAAGCATTTGGCGTGGAGTGGCAGGCCGGGCGCTGCCTGGCTCCCCACAGGACCCGTTTGCATGTGATCGTGGTGGGAGTTTTATTGCGCAAAATGTACTTATTTACTTAGGAAAAAATTCCAAGGACTGAGGATTCAGCCTGTCCAGGTTGCCCTCCTCCACCATAGCTTGGGGCGCTGCTGGATCCTGGCCTGTAGTTGGAGGCTCAGATCTTCTCCGTGGCACGTAGTGCTTTTTGTTATCTTTTGGCTGATACACCAGCTCTGTACTAGCTGGGGCCATTCCTCAAAAGAGCGCGATCTGGCCACAGTGATCTGTACTCTGGTCAAATCCCGGTTAGCTTACTGGAATGACTTTTATGTGAGGTCTCCATTAAAAAGTGTTATGGTCCAGAATGCGGCAGGGGTGGTACGTAGGGATCACCCTGAAAGACCCGCACTGGCTGCCAGTGTTCCCTCTAAGCTGAGTTAGTGTGAGCTAGCTCACAGTTTTTTAGCCTCCGGTTCACACATTTTTGTCTCAGCTCAGGAAGGAGGGCTCCCGAGCAAACTAATTTATGCAGCAGCCAAATTGCTCGCTCACAATTTTAATGCCAGTAGCTCACAAAGCAGAATTTTTGCTCCCAAGACTCCACAGCTTAGAGGGAACATTGCTGGCTGCCCATCCATTTCTGGGCAAAATTAAAAGTACCTTTCGGGCCCTAAGTGGACTGCCTCTACCCAGATCGTCCAGCCCGCCACCTTACATCCTCTTCTGAAGCCTTGATCTCCCGGCCTCTGCCTTCGGAGATGAGGCAGGTGGCAACCAGAAATGGGGCCTTTTTGGTAGTGGCTCCTTGCCTGAAAAACGCTCTACCCCTTGAGGCTCGTCTACCCAGAATTACATTTGGATTGTGCTATGAAGAATGAAATTGGGCCAGGTCCAAATGCTACATTTGTCCGTTTATTTATTTAACTTATACCCCGTCCTACCCCACCAATGGGCTCAGGGAGGCTCACGACGTAATAAAAACAATAAAAACCAAGAAATAAGAACAGTTAAAACAGTTAAGCAAGTAAAACAAGATGGCATTAAACACGAGTAATCCAACGTCAGCGTCTCCTTTGACATTTTAACAGGCGATGGTAGACGGCCTGATTTATAACAGTTTTTAATCAGATGGTGGGAGGTACTTAAAAAAAACAATGCTCCACAGATGACAGACAGTGCCTAGCAGGCAACTGGGCAGGTACCAAAAGGCAGGGGAGGCGGGTCTTACTGACCTATTTTAATAACGTCGCAGCTCTTGTCTTCGTGCTCTTCCTCTTCCAAGACGTCTCTACCTTTAGTCAAAATGATGGGACATACTTTGTCCCTCGAAAGATCCTCAGCTTCCTCGCTGGGCAACCGAGGCTTTCGGACAACTTCCAGATCCCCGTCTTCGTCCAACAGAGCTTCAATCCCTTCGGGAGCCTTTCTTTCCCCGGCGGAGTCATTTTGCTTACCCTCCTCCTCCTCCTCCAACTTCTTTCCATATGTCTGCCGGCACTTCGCGTCTTGCTTTTTAAAGTCTTTCTCTTTTTTCTCAAGTTTCCGGCGACTTTTGCTCAAAAGGAGCTTGAACTGCGAGAGAAATACTGAAAAGGGAAGAATCTGAGGTCTGATAGCGCAGTGTTAAGAAGCGTGGTCACTGTAAATACTTTGTCCGGCAAAACCAAGCCTGGTAAACACAGGAATTATATTTGTCAGAATTCATCAAACTTCTAGGAATCAAGACCTTCCCCAACTCGATAATCGATCTGCATCTCCCCAAATATCAGTCCATTAAATAAACCTCTAAGTAGGACGTCCCTCAATTTTGACAAAGAGCTTCTTCACGCATCTGGATTTGGTATTAGTAAATATCTGACTCTACCGACACTTCTGCTGTATTACCCCCCCCCCACGGTTATGACCACCATACTATCCACATGTCTGGGGCAGTGATGCTCTGTCTTCTTGGTGCTTGGGGGGGTAACAGTGGGAAGGCTTCTAGAGTTCTGGCCCTGCTGGTGGACCTCCTAATGGCCCCTGGGTTTTGGCCACTGTGTGACACATAGACAAGATGGACCACTGGGGTGATCCAACATGGCTTCTCTTATGTTCTTAAAGTGGGGGGTTTTTTGTTTAGTTTTTTTAGTGCCTAGGTAGGGTCAAGGACCCTAGCAGTTCGAAAGCAAGAAATTGCAAGCAGATAAATAGGTACCACTTTGGTGGGAAGGTAACAGCGTGCCGTGCGCCTTGGTGTTTAGTTATGCCGGCCACGTGACCACAGAAACGTCTTCGGACAGCGCTGGCTCTTCGGCTTTGAAACGGAGATGAGCACACCGCAACCCTAGAGTCGGATTCGACTGGCTTTCGAGCAAGGGAACCTTTACCTTTTTAGGGTCAAGGAATCAGTTTCCACCAGCGCAGATGGGAAGAGATCCTGAAAAGCTCCACCAACTCTTTCGGCATCATCAGCGGTGGGCATTTTGGCTAAAAATGGGGGCAGGTTTTGTAAGGATCCTGGAAACCCAGGAAGCTCCATGGAGCGGACGGAACACGCGTGGAGAAGTTCTGCAAAAGGCCGACAGGCCACACAACAATGGGGGATCTAGGCTCTGTTTTTCCTATAACGGCTGCTGAAAAACCGGCCGTGGCGAAGAACAATTCACCTGCAGGAAGTCACAGATCCTTTGGAAAGGTTACCTGGCTGGCCGGCAGTGTTCAGTCTCACCATAAGATGCCTTTTGCTGGGAACGTGCATGTGGATATCAGACAGCACGGTGTCACTCCGAAACGTCACCTCATCCATAGCCTCTCGCTCTTCTGCGCCTGCTATGGCCGGCTGGTGACAGAAACATCTGGAATTGGAAGACAGAAATGGCTTAAGACGGGGGGAAAGGGTGGGCAAGGCGGTCTGGTGGTCAATCTGTTTCAGATCCACCGGAGAGAATTGTGGGGGAAGAGCTGGCGATTGCAAACTGGTATGCACTCTGTGTGCGTGTGTGTTACGTGCCATCGAGTGGCTTCTGACCAGTGTTCCCTCTAAGCTGAGTTAGTGTGAGCTAGCACAGTTTTCTAGCCTCAAGCTCACACATTTTTGTCTTCGCTCAGGAAGGACCGCTCCAGAGCAAACTAATTTATGTGGCAGCCAAATTGCCCGCTCACAGCTTTAATGCCGGTAGTTCACAAAGCAGGATTTTTGCTCACAAGACTCCAGAGCTTAGAGGGAGCACTGCTTCTGACGCAAGGCAGCCTACGAATTAATGACCTCCCAAATGTCCTATCCTCAGGGGTCATTTCCTGCAGGAGCACACAGGAGCAGAGCTCCAGCAGTAAAGAGCCCAGGGGGCAGGCACATGCAATAAGCCCCGCCCCCTGCTCCCAGAGCCCCCCCATAGACAGCAATCCAAAACAGTCCAGTGGCAGCTTTAAGACCAAATTTTATTCAGGTACAAGCTCTCCCTCCTCTGTGAGGGCAGATCTGTGTGAGGAACCCCCCCCCCATAGCTAGCAATCCAAAACAGTCCAGTGGTGCCTGAGCAGTGGGTGTTGCCTTCTGACACACTGCTGGTGATGTCAGGGGGTGTGGCATATGCAAATATTATGCTAATGAGTTATGCTAATGAGCTCCTGCACCTCTTTTTCTATGAAATTACCCCTGCCTATCCTTAACAGCCTTGCTCAGGTCTTGCCAACGGAGAGCCTCTGCGGCTTCCTTGACTGAGTCACTCCGTCGCAGGTTGGGTCTTCCTCTTTTCCCGCTGCCTCCAACTTTTCCCAGCATTATTGTCTTTTCCAGTGACTCTTGTCTCCTCGTAATGTGACCAAAGCGCGGCAGCCTTAGTTCAGTCGTTTTGGCTTCTAGGGAGAGTTCAGGCGCGGCAGCCTCAGTTCAGCCGTTTTGGCTTCTAGGAAGAGTTCAGGTTTGAATTGATCTATAACCCATTCATTTGTCCTTTTGGTGGTCCCTGGATCTGTAAGACTCTCCTCCAACGCCACATTTCAAATGAATCAACTTCCTTCCCGTCAGCTTCCCCCACGGTCCAACTTCACACCCATACACAGTTAAGAATTTTTTTCTAGCTCCTTCCATGGCTGCCCTTCATAGAATCATAGAGTGGGAAGGGGACCTCCAGGGTCATCTAGTCCAACCCCCTGCACAGTGCAGGAAATTCACAAATACCTCTCCCCCCCACACACACCCCCAGTGACCCCTGCTCCATGCCCAGATGACAAAAAAACCTCCAGGATCCTCGGCCAAACTGGCCTGGAGAAAAATGGCTTCCTGACCCCAAAGTGGCAATCAGCATTTCCCTGGGCGTGTAAGAACGGGCCACGAGAACTAAGCACTGATGCAGCCCCTCCTGCCCTCCCTCTCGTAATCTGCCCAAGTTCACGGAATCGGCATTGCTATCAGATGGCCATCTAGCCTCTGTTTGAAAACCTCCTTTTCCAGTCTCAGTCTCTTTCTGGTTTCTTGTTTGCTGTCTCCTTGTTGGTTGACGATGGAGCCCAAGAATAGAGAACGTACTGTTTCCTGAACCTCTCCGGTCACTGATTCTGCCTGCCCCTCAGCCCTGCGTGAAATCTTACCCCATGGCTTCGTCAGCCTTCTCTGCACTCCCTGCCAACAGGGCTCCTCTCCCATCCACAGCTGCATCGCTGGTCGAAACGTTTCTTACAAGGGAGATGCAATTTGGGGGAAAGTCGGCACCAAACGGATTTGGTCTGAAGCACAGCTGTTGAAGGCAGAGGAGCCAGGCGTCCTACCTCAGGGCCCCTGCTTCTCAACTCACTAAGCCCCTGCTTCTCAACTCACTCAAATAGTCCGCTGCTCCTTCTGTCACCCTGCCTTCCGGGGCTGTCTTCCTACTTTGGTTCCCAGCTTTCTGCCTCCCTCTCATGGTAACCTCACACAGGCCCTCTTGCCCCATAGATCCCTCAAAATCACCTCCAGCATCAACATTCTGCAACTTCTCTTTCCGCCTCAGCAGACAGAACATTTGTCCTGTACGCAACAGCTAGCTCACGGGCCTTCCGGGTGGCCGGTCCAGTCCTCTGGAATGGCCTACCTGAGTGGGTACTGAAGCGCCTTCTTTGGCTGCCTTTAGGAAGTCCTGCAAGACAGTTTTATTTCAGGAGGCATTTGCTGGAAGCTAAAATCCTTAAGCTGTGGTTGTAATCTGCATGTTTGTTTTTAGTCTGTGCAGATGTTTTAATCTCTGTGTGTGTGTGTGTTTCATTCCTTACTTGGATTTGTATTGGTTTTTAATTTTTGTTTGTTTCTGGCATGTTTGTTTTTATCTTGACAATAAGCTCTTTTTTGTGGCCTAGCAACTTGTGGCTATATTGCTAGCTGCCTTGAGTCGAAGGAGAGAAGGGATGACATAAAATGCTTTGAATAAATAAACAAACAAACAATGAGACCATTCTATCACACCAGGAACACATAAATATTTTAACGGTGTGTGTATGTGTCACTGCATAACATTGTGAGTTTCCACACACATATCCCAATTCAGTTAGCATCATACACTGTTAGACCGCCAACACAGCAAGGAAGATAATCAAAATACAAAGCATTCTAAAAAGTGTAGCACAGAGATAGCTTTTGATAATGTAGATACTTTTTAAACCAGGGGTGTCGAACTCATTTGTTATGAGGGCCGGATCTGACATAAATGAGACCTTGCTGGGCCGGGCCATGTGTGTCATAAAAGGTAATGCCAGGTAGCGAAGATACAAACTTTATAAAGGACACAAACACAAAGGGTTTTTTAAACTTAAAATAAGAACACGCTTAAAACAGCACTCTTGCAACATTTTGTTTATTTAACAGTGTCTGATAACTGACACCTCTTGCTCTGAATTACGGCATCAAAATGTCTGTGCTGTTGCAATCTTGGGTATGCTGTTCAGGTGTGTATCTGTACGATGATGCAGCAGCAGCAGAACTGGAAAAAGAAGCAGAAGACAGCCAGTTCCACTGCGGGCCTGATAGAAGCCCTCCGGGGGCCTGATCCGACCCCCGGGTGCATGTTTGACACCCGTTTTAAACAGTTGTTCAGTGATGCTCCTGGGGGATGAAGTAAAGCAGTTTGGATGTCTCACATGAACGGCTCTTCACAGAAGGGACGCTATGCCTGCAGTCAAAGTGTGGAACTAGGGAAGGGATCTCTCGACTCTTAAGAGAGATAGAATTGCATATGCCCTGTAACGAGATTGGAGCAACGTGTTCGGCACACTGTGGCACACCAGAGCTTATGTGGCCAATCAACAACTAAACACCTGAGTCTGGCATAAATCTGAGGCTCCTTTTCACATGCAGCTAACAGTCCTGCTGGCAAACTCTTGCTGAGCACACCATGTTCATCCCAGACCTCTACATACAGTCGTAAACAAACCTCCTTGCTGGCAAACCTGGATTTAACTATGGTGCAGAAACCTGATTGGCAAGCAAGTGGACTAACCAAAAGTTCTTTGGACACCACCAAAAAACCCCACAGTTTGTTCCATGTGAGGAAATCTTACAGCTCCATGCCACGCAAGTGGGGAGAAAGAGGGAAAATGCTGCAGGTCATTGCTGAACTCCTAGATTGGTGTTGATAAGCAGAGTTAGGTCTGGTTTGATTTTGGAACAGATCAAAGGAAGTCCTTCTTCACCCAAAGAGTCATTAATGTGTGGAATTCACTGCCGCAGGAGGTGGTGGCGGCTACAAGCAGAGACAGCTTCAAGAGGGGATTAGATCAACATCTGGAGCAGAGGTCCATCAGTGGCTATTAGCCACAAGGGACAGATGGAACACTGTGTCTGGGGCAGTGATGCTCTGTCTTCTTGGTGCTTGGGGGTTCTGGAGTTCTGGACTCACTAGTGGACCTCCTGACAGCACCTGGGTTTTGGTCACTGTGTGACAGTGTTGGACTGGATGGGCCATTGGCCTGATCCAACATGGCTTCTCTTTACTCTTATCTGCAGGGAATCAATCTGTGGGATTTCATCTTGGAGAGGAGGTTAGGCCTAACTAGGGCTTAAGTATTTTGGAAGATCCATTCCCCTGTTCTCCTCTTCCCTCTTTCAACTTATTGTTTTTGACACTGCTCCTTTATCTCTAGCTGTAGACTGACGCAGGGAAAGTAGTACAGCGTTCAGTGCCAGAGAAAAAAAGCAAGGGAACTAGCTAAATTGCTGTATGTCAGGCTGACATTACAAGTAGGGGTTTAATGTCAGGGTTGACAGCCAACTACCCTTAGAATTTTATGACTGCTGAACAGCATGGATTCCCCCCCCCATTCTTTCACTCACCCACACAAAGTGCGACCAGTTTTTAGTAGCACACAGCAAATTAATGAGAGAAATCAGAAGCACAGTAAATGCATCTAAGATATAATATTTTTACCACTTACACGACCAATTATCTGTGATTCTGCAAATAAAGAAAACAAGACAGACAGCATCTCTTTTCAACCTTAAAAAACAACCTTGACCAACCCAAAATGTATAGCAGGAAAGTAATAGTGTCTAGATCAGTAATTTCTGTGTGCAAGGCAACAAACTGAAATTTTACATTAAAATGTTAAAGGCAAACCTTTCTTGCTGTTTCTCTTGTTGATTACATTGTGTATACTGATATATACTTTTATTTTTTAAACTACTTTGGGTACTTTATTAGTTGTTGTAGATTTTCCGGGCTGTGTGGCAACGCCAAGACGATGGCCCTACAGTATGGAAAATCTACAACTAATGAACTCCGGCAGTGAAAGCCTTTGACAACATACTTTGGGTACCTTCGGGGGAGGGGGGGGTTGTAGAAAAAGCCCAGCAGGAACTCATTAGCATAATAGGTCACACCCAACTCATTAGCATATTAGGCCACACCCCTGACAGCACAGCTTATTTGCACATTAGGCCGCACCCCCATGTTACCAGAAGTGTGGTCATCCAGCCACACCCACCTTTTGCTCCTTATTCTGTTTACCTTGTTTGATGTCAAAACCCAGGGCTTTTTTTGTAGCAGGAACTCCTTTGCATGTTAGGCCACACACCTCTAATGTAGCCAATCCGAATGAGTTTCTGCTGTTGGGTGTGGCCTATTATGCTAATGAGTTCCTGCTGGCTGTGGCCAACTCAGGAGCCAGCCGGAACTCCGTTCCTGTGCGTTCCTGCCCCAAAATGGTACCTTTCTTAATTTTTAAAATCATTTCTCAGTTCAGTTAAATCCCATCAGTAAGACTCCTTTACAAATAACTGCAAAACTGCCGTTTAGGATTTGTGTGAAAAAAACCCCAATCACTTCCTAAGTTATTTCAGAAATCTCAGAATGGCTCCAAACGCTGTTCCTTTTCCTGAGTACACAGTCGCGGGTAGGCTCTGAATTCTCTTTGTGATCCATTGTGCGAGACAGAAATCCTCCCCCTTTTGAATAGTTCAATGCATAAATTAATCTACCTACCTTTGAATTCTTCTATTTATCCCTAATTGTTCCGCTGTCTTTCGTGGGATCTGCAATTTAAACAAAACTAATTTACTGAAAAGGGAAAAAAACTACATTCTTCGCAAGCAATTTCTTGTGGAAACGCTTCCAGTGTGGCTGAACAAATCTTCAGAGATAAGTAAATGTGACTGACATTTCTAAACTTTTCCTGGGCAAAAAAACCCAAGAGATAAAAAAATTCATTACAGATCTAAAAATGTCGATTGCCAGATTTCCTTTTTGGAGCTACTTTTGGCATAGTATTTTCACACTCCTAGGTATTAGGAACCCGATACGGCCTGGGACTTTTGTCAGCCTTCTCAAGAGTGTAACGCTAAATGTAATAAGAAGCTCCTAAAAATGATACATATCCAGGCACCAATGCTCCCTCTAAACTGTGGAGCCTTGTGAGCAAAAATTCTACTTTGTGAGCAACTGGCATTAAAGTTGGGAGAGAACAATGTGGCTGCTGCATAAATTCGTTTGCCCTGGTGCCATCCTTCCTGAGCGAAGACAAATATCTGGGAGCTGGAGGCTAGAAAACTGAGAGCTAGCTCACACTAACTCAGCTTAGAGGGAACACTGCCAGGCACTACGATCCAAAATTATTTCTCTCCTGATGCAAGAGCCGCAAAACTCGACATGGCTCATTCCCAGGCAGAATTAAGCAATTCCTACAGGGTTCGATGGTTCCCCCCCCCAGATAAACACCCAGGGATCACCACCTGTCTAAAAAGGCCTTCAAAGGCTCTCTGCTGTCCAGACATAACTAGTTGATTCTGCCAACATATTACTATCCTCATTATTCAGATCTTTGCAGAAATAACACTAGACTGTTAGGAGTGGTTTTAAAGGACAGACTATACAACTATATTCATAACTATTCAAGTTCAGTGACACTTTTAGATACCAACAATTTTTTTTTCGTGTATAAGCGTTCAAGAGTCAATGCTCCGTTTGTCTGATACAAGAGCAGTGACTCTCAAAAGCTTGTACCTCCAAAATCTTGTTGGTCTCCAAGGTGCTGCTAAACTCAAAGCTAACAGCTACCCTCTCAAACGATATTTCTGGTCCATCTTTCTGCTGCTGCATTCAAGGCAACCTACAGTGTGAGTAGCACCAGTGGTAACTTGCTTGGACCCAGGTTAGACAGCAGCTTCCTTCCTCTTGATTACCAAGACATTCTTAACAGCAGAGGGAGAAGAGGAAGCAGCCACGGCTGCTAGAAACCATTAAGGACCGTTTCTCTGAGCACCTTTCATTATATTCTCAATCAGTCAGTCAGTCAATGTTTATTACGGTCAAAAACCATCTCTTAAAATCATCTAATATTCCTTAAACTCGGAGCTCCAAAAAACTATTTTGATCATTCCAAACATTTCCGCTTCTTAATTGCTAAAGTACAAATTTTTGCCACCACATAAGTTTTAAGAGATATTTATTTCCAGAGCACTTCAGACCTAAAGTTCATTATAATACTTCAGTGGTATGAATTTAGAGAGGAGTGGAATAATTAATTGCAATCTTTCTTCTTTATGAAATTCACAATGCAGGAGAATATGCGTAACAGATTCTCTTCTCCTCCATTACAGTCTATCCGTATTTCAAACGGATGGAAGCCACCTCGGGGGTCAATTTTGGAAAGAAAAGTCAGGTAAAAATACAAACAAATAAATAATTGAACCCTACTAGGGATATCATAGAGATTAACATGGCACCTTTGAAATCTGTAGAAGACACTTCAAAGAATCAAGAATTAATTCAAAGGGTCCCCCCCCCCATAGCACCCTCCTCCCAGTAGTGCAGAGGAGGAAAGACCATAGAGACCTCTAACAGGGGTTATTGATGGTGGGAGGCAGGTTATTTCTGTTAAGTAATACATCTTGACAACTGAGATTTTCAGTGTCACGCTAAGCAGCTACACTGAGATTTTCAGTGTCACGCTAAGCAGCTACACCTTTCTATATTCATTATGAAGGGGGATTCAGGTGGGTAGGCGTGTTGGTTTGAAGCAGCAAAACAAAGTTCAGGTCAAGTGGCACGTTTAAGACCAACAAAGGTTTATTCTGGGTATGAGCTTTCAAGTGCATGCACACTTCTTCAGGTACATTATGAAGAGTGTAAGTGTCCTAAGAATGGTGTTGCTGCTACACTACTATTACAGAATCTCCATTTCTGAGAACAGGGGTGCAGGACCCAAGAATAATTTCTCTGGGCCCAGCACCTCAACCCAAACACACACAAACAAACTTTCCACCCTATGCATTCCCCCTTATTACAAATGTCAGTTTTATTCCTAGAAGACATACCTAGACAATATTACAGTAATGGGCTTGGAGCTGAGGGTGGACTCCCACCAACCCTAATGGAGTGTACACATTTTCTCTTCCCCCACATTCCTGGACCCCAGACAGGAGCCAAGCTAAGAGGAATACGACCTGCAACGAAGGGAAAAGGTGCAAATACAGGGACCCAGCTGCCCCTCCCAGATATGCAAACTTGTTACGACAACAAAAAAAAGAGGGCATTTGATAAATATCTTGAAAGGCTCAACAACTAGCATTAAAAAAATTAACTAGTTTATTGGGAATAGTGAATAATATATTTTAAGGAAATAGTGTTATTGGTAATGTTATAATGATTATCTAGACTTATTAATTCACTCACTTTTTATATTGTCTTTAATATTTGTAAAAGACTCTTACGCTTATTTCTCTTTCCCCCTCATACCCCTTTCTCTGTATCCTATATAAAATTAAAATAAAATATCTACTAAAAATTAACTAGTTCTTCTGGTTCAAAACATCACGATTCCTCCCTCCCTCCCGTTTCACAGTCTTAATATATAAAAAGAGAAATGAAAAGGTACATGCTCAGAGCCACGGCATGCGTCATCCCACAAAAACCAGAACTTGTACTCATTTTTTTGTTTTCCTTATTTAAACTGTGTTTTGTTTCTTAAATTGTTGATTTAAGTGTTTTTTTGTAAGCTGGCTTGGGTCCCCACGGGAAAAAAATTACAAGATAATTAGTTTTCTAAATAACTACATGACACAAAATTCCAGGGGGGTTGTTACCACACAGCCTAAATACACAGAAAACTGAAAAAGCACTCTCCACATGCCGAGATATCTTCACTGTGAATCTTAGCTCTTCTAGTTAGTCTTTAAGAGGCCATACAATTAACTTAATGGTTAAAAAATATACAAAAAACTGAAAAAGCACTCTCCACATGCCCAGAGATATCTTCACTGTGAATTGCCTCTTCTAGTTAGTCTTTAAGAGCCCATAAAATTAACTCTTTAACGGCTCTTATTTGTCATAGCTCAAATATGCAAAGGAGAGAAGCCAAGACACTCGCACATGCGCAGAAACAGTCTAGCGCCGCAAGGGAGTCAAAGGGCCCTTGGAAACTTTATTACGAGGGATGGAGGCAAGCACCTAGCAACCCCTGAAGCGGGGGAAAGGGGAAGGAAAGCGGGGTCTCCTTCGCGCCAAAGCAGAATTACAGCCTCTGAGGGGGCTGCAAATGCGCCTCGCCTCTCACCTCCCCTCCCGCAGCCGCCCAGCAGAGGCACCTCGCCCCGACGCCGCCATTTTGCCTCTTCCCCGGCGACGTCCCGCCCACTCACTTCCGGCGGCGTTCCGAGCTCCCTTTGGCCCCGCCTACTCCAAATCCTTCCGCGCCTGCCCAATCCGCAGCCGCCGCTGGGTTGGTTGTCAGGGCGACGAGGCAAAAGTTCGCCTCGAGCCAGCCAAACCGCGCCGCCCAATAACGCTGGCCTGAGGAGAAAAGGGTGGCGCGCAAGCCAAGAGCGAGAAAAGGGAATGTCCCGGATGTTGGCTAAGCCAGCTGCCCTCTGGTCAATGGCTTATCAGTTATTCCCTCAGTCATATTTCAGCCAACATCTTTTTGTGCCATATTATTAAAAGCTGACACGCACACACAGACAGACAGATCTGTGTAAATTGCGTTACGTTTCACTTTTCAGCCTTTCTGAAATGGTGTCCATCACACAACACCAAGGCTCCCGTATAAGAGCATAAGAGAAGCCATGTTGGATCAGGCCAATGGCCCATCCAGTCCAACACTGTCATACAGGGAGGGACCAAAACCCATCAGGCAGTCCACCAGTGGGGCCAGAACTCCAGAAGCCCTCCCATTGTGGCCCCCCAAGTGCCAAGAAGACAGAGCATCACTGCCCTAGACAGAGCGTTCCATCTATCCCTTGTGCTCCTGATGTACATCCAATCCCCTCTTGAAGCCGTATATGCTTGCAGCCGCCACCACTTCTTGCAGAAGTGAATTCCACCTATTAATTACGCTTTGGGTGCAGAAGATACGGCACCAAGCCCTGCAGCCCCATCTTGGCTTGAAGGCTGCTAGAGTTATGTTTGAACTTAGATTTTATTACACCCTTCATCCATCTAGTTTGCGCAATGTCTTCCCCTCCTCTAGTCTCATCACAGAAGTGGGAGGGAAAGAAAGTGATGTACAGAAAATAACCCTGTCTGAGTGTGTGTGTTTCCCCAGCCCAATTTGAGAAAACACTCAGTACGATCCTGTAGAGCAGAATCAGATCTTGTACTTTATTGATCAACAAATGAGGAAGGTTGCAGATCCAGTCAAGTTTTGGATCCCACAGCTCTCCCCGAGGTTACAATGGGAGACATAGGGTTTTATACTCCATATAGGGTTGCCAAGTGAATTTTACTCACCGGCGGGGGAGCCTCGCCGCACTCCGGGAGCCGTCCCTCATCGTGCGCGTCGCCAGCACATCACTGGAAGTGACGCGCGACGTCGATCACGTTGAGGGCGTGGTCCCGATCGTCGGAAAACCATAGAGTTTTCCCTCTGATGATCGGGGCCATGCCCCCAACGTGATTGACGTGGTTGCGTCACCTCTGGTGACGCAGCCACGCTGCGCTTCGGGGGGGCGGAGTTCCCCCCGGGGCCCGATTCCGCGGCGGCGGAAATTGGGCCTCCAAAGCGGGGGTTTGCCCGCCCCCCCGCCCCCACTTGGCAGCCCTAACTCCATATGACGCTTACAAATAAATCATAATTATTGGTTCCATCAAACATCAGCACTCTGACCTAACAGGTATCTGATTGGCAGAAAACCTTTTAGACTGGGCTTTCCCAAGTACAGGTTTTTTTTCTTTTAGCTGAACAGTAAGTGTTTCTTTCTCTTAGACTGTAAAATTCTAAAAGTATCTATTTAGCTGATATGGTTTACAAGGTGCCATTGTTCTTCGTTTAGCCAGGGACATGCGCAGTTATAGCTGGCCTACCTAGGCCATAAGCCTCAGCAAAAATAGCAAGTTAACATTTTGTTCTTTCAGCATTTTACCTTCCCAGCATGCATCCAAACAACAGTCACAAATGAACCAAAGTTAATCCCTGAATAGATTCATGATGTTAGAATCATAAATGGCACTTAACATATGCACCATGGAAGTGCTAAGTGCACCCACCAAGTCAAACCTGTTAGTCAGTGGCAGAGTATAAAGTGTTTCATAAACTGCTTACAACAAAAGTGATCTCCCCTCATCCATTTTAGCCTCACAACAACCCTGTGAGGTTGGTTAAACTGAGAAGTGAATGGCCCTGTTGGCCCCAGCTTTAAGGCTGAGCAGGGATTTCAACTGGGGTCTCCCCACAGTCCACCTATGCCATCCCATCTCTCGTAACAGCATATCAATTAGGATTTAAAACGCCTTGTTTCCTCGTTTCCCATTCCAAGTAGCTGGTGTGCAGATTTCCTTCTAGGGGTTCCTTCCAGGCCCCAGGTGAGACCTGGGGATCCCCTGAAATCACAGCTCCTCTGCAGAGATCAGATCCCCCGGTGAAAATGGATGCTTTGGAGGGGGTGGCATTGTACCCACTGAGGCACCTGTCCTGCCCAGGCGCCATCCCAAAATCTCCAGGAGTTTCCCAGATTGGAGCTAGCACCCTGTAAAGTACTGGGTCCAGACGTGTTGACAAGTGAAACAGCTCATAGTTTATTTCAGCTCGGGAAAACAAGACAAGGAAAGCAGGACCGGAGCCCTGTTTATAGTGAGCCACACCCAAACTCACACCCACACCCGTGATAGGATTATTTACAGTGCATATACATTCTATAGGTCACTCTAGGATCCTGACCGCCTGATTGGTGCGTTCTAGGATCCATGCTGGCTGTTGTCTAGGAGAACGAAGCTTAAGCCGTTTGCATGGCTATGTGAGGACCCGACCGCGTGCGCGGTCTATGTAAGAACACAACACACCCTACCTCCTGTTCCCTGTCCATGTCCAGAAGAAGAAGACATTGGATCTATATCCCGCCCTCTACTACCCGAAGGAGTCTCAGAGTGGCTTACAATCTCCTTTCCATTCCCGTCCCCACAACAGACACCCTGTGAGGTAGGAGAGGCTGAGAGAGCTCTTTCAAAAACTGCCCTTGAGAGAACAGCTTTGATAGAACTTGTAACTGACCCAAGGTCACACTAGCAGCTGCATGTAGAGGAGTGGGGAATCAAACCCGGTTCTCCCAGATTAGAGTCCACTCTCCTAACCACTACAGGAAACTGGGCAACCTGGCAACCGTATTTCCTCCTATGTCTATTTCACCTCTTTAAACAGCTTTCGTTTAGTTTCTCTAGGCTCATTGCTAAGTAGGCTGGCCAATTCTCTTCTGTTTCAAGGACTGGTTTGGTGTCGTGGTTAAGTGTGCGAACTCTAATCTGGGAGAACCGGGTTTGATTCCCCACTCCTCCACTTGCACCTGGCTGGATGGCCTTGGGGAAGCCATAATTCTGGGACAGCTGTTCTTGAAAAAGAGCAGTTTCTGTCAGAGCTCTCTCAGCCCCACCTACCTCACAGGGTGTCTGTTATGGGGAGGGGAAGGGAAAGGAGATTGTAAGCTGCTCTGAGACTCCTTCGGGTAGTGAAGGGCGGGGTATAAATCCAATCTCTTCTTCTTCTTCTTTTATCACTTCCTCCAGAAATATTTGTGAAAAAAGAAAGGCAAGAATGGTATAGTCTAACAAACCACTGGTAATGTTCCAACATGCGTAAACTGCCTTTTTCTTACTAGCCCTTTCCAGTCATTATGTTATTGGTTCTCCTACCTCAGCATAACCCATGTCATTTTATCTTTAACACGCTGCTTGATTTTTTCATTTAGGGCCTAAGGGGAAAAAAAGGTCACACAGCATGGGAAGTTAGTAAAGTGCTCCTGTATTATTCACGTAGATTTTGGGGATGGAGCCCGGGGACGGTGGGGTTTGAGGAGTAGAGGCGCCTCAGCAGGGTATAATGCCACAGAGTACACCTGCCAGAGTAGCCACCAACTGGCCATCTCCTGCTTCCAGTTCTGCTGCTGCATCATAGCTTGCTTCGCCAGACTCTCTTAGTCGCTCAGCCATTTCATGTTTTAACCTGGGTCCTAGACTCAGAACTCTGAGCATGAGATTTCTGTGGTGATTGTCAATCAATGGAAAGTGGGTTTGCAGCTTACAGAGCTCATGTCTTAAACATGTTTTTATTTTAAGTAAAAAAAAAAACCCTTTGTGTTTGTGTCCTTTATAAAATTTGTATCTCCGCTACCTGGCATTACATTTTATGACACACGTGGCCCAGCCCAGCAAGGTCTCATTTATGTCAGATCCGGCCCTCATAACAAATGAGTTCGACACCCCTGGACTGGACGTTGACTAAGGGAACTGCTAATTTCTTTGCAGACTGGAGCCAGGGAAATAAAGCATCAGAGAAATAATGCATCAAGAACATCGGCAGGAGCTGCCGGAGTTGGAAAACGCACAGGGGAAGACGCAGCCCTCCATTTCGTTAAGTGAACATTTTGGAACTGCTGTTTTCTTTGTGCTACAGGGCACCATTTGTCAGGGCTTGCCTTTGTTTAAAGCATCATCTCTGCAAACGTTGCAATGTTCATAGCCGTTATGATTCAGTGACACCTGCGGTTGCAAACTTGCCGGGTTTATGATCACGGTTTGTTATCTTGAAAACCATTAACAGCTTGAACATTTTCTTTGGGAAGCGATTTCATAATTGTCCTGTCGTGTATTGGCTTGAATCCCTCCCGCTCCCCAACTTTCCAACTGGAAAAGATAATTTGGGAGAAAGATATACAGAAGAAGGAGAGCCAGCTTGGTGCAGTGGTGAATTTTTAAAAAACTGGAGAACCGGGTTTGATTCCCTACTCCTTCACATGCAGCCAGCTGGATGACCTTGTGCCAGTCACAAGTTCTCGCAGAGCTGTTCTCTCCAGACGTGATCACACAGAGCCTGGCGTCCATAGTTGCCATTTTCTCCAGGAGAACTGGTGTCTGTGGCCTGGCGATCGGTTGTCATTCTCAGGAAACTCCAGGCCATACCTGGAGATTTGGAAACCCGACCCGCTATCGAGATCTCCCCATAAAACACTCTGCAGCTCACAAAACACTATGTGATAAAAAACTAATTTCCCAGTCGATTGGTTTTCTTCTTATGTCTTAAAGTGTTTATATCCTGCCTCTTGATATAAATCTCCAAGCGGGCTCCTTCCTGACGGATGCTGGGGGAAAGAGATGCCGATTGCACGTGCTTGGGACATCAGCGTCTGCCTAGCTGTCTGAAA